GGCTAATTGGTTTGCATCAGATCATACAACAATAAGCCAGAATTCAAATGCAGATGTTCCAATTCTAAATGGTTTGCTTATTCTAGTTTGCTATTCTGCCTATTAATTTTGACATCTATTAAAGCAACGAAAAAGATAACCAAAGAAAATATCAATGGCATTGTCACATACAATTATGCATTGTCATAACTCTCATTTAGAAAATAGCATATATGACCAGAGATAAAACATTGCACTCTGTCAGGATGCTTAATTTGGAAGTATGAGAACTACAATGAATAGTGGCTTGATGGCAAGTGAGACACATGCTGTCACACAGTTCAGTGGTTCAGAGACAGTCTATTTGCAGGCGGTTTTTTCTGATGCTCATGGGGATAGGCCTCTCTGGTGCTTAGAGTAGTGCACCTGTTCTGGGCCCTGGATCATCAAAAGGCAAGCCCACAGTGAGGAAGTGAGAAAGTATGGGGCCTCTCCCATTTCTTTTATTAGGAAGAAACCATTTTCAGGAGTCACTGGAATTCTGCTCCAGTATCATTGGCTTCCCTTTTTCTTGCTTAAACCAATCACTGTCAAAATGACAGTTATGGTCAGGGTTAGCTCTAAGATGAATTCACTCCATGGAGTCATAGAGATGCCACTTTCCAGGAACACGGGCCAGCGCAGGAAGTAGCGGTGGTGAGAACCTGAACAATATCGATGTTCCATCAGTAAGGAAAAGCCAAAGAACAGGCAACAGATGGGCAAGAAACAGGCTTTCCATTCACCAGTGTTTTAATTTAAGTCCATTATCACTGCTTAGCAAAAAGAAATATGAAGGAAACCCTAACTCTACAACTGTTGATTTGATAATTCTGTCATCTACAAATAGACATAATTTCCCAAATTCTATTCTCAATCTCTTCTCTTTGTTAGTTTCTTTAATTATTTAATAATAATATCCTCATGATACCTTTGTACTACTAATACTGTCCTAGGTGAAATTATGTAGCTTTACCTCCAATGGATCTCTCCTTAGTGATGATACACAGACTAGGAAAAATCTACTTGGTAGATTATATCATCAATCAATCAGTAAATTTAAGTATATAGTCATGTGTAAGCAAAAGTTGTCTGTCTTTCTAGATTATACTCCAAAAAAAATGTAAAGGTCTGTATGTGTTAATTCCCCTCCAACCTAAAGGATGTTAAAGTTATTTTCTGAAACTTTTGTATACTATTAGGCCTGGCATTCATAAATCATAATTCATGGCCTAAAGGACCAGAGAAGTTAATTGATTGTGTCTATTTACCAAAGTGAGCACAGTGCCAGAAAATACCTGTGTCAAACAAAACTCTTTCATTGAAAAATTAGTTGCTATTTATGACTCCTAGATAATTTCAGTTTGTAAATTTGAGTACTATTTTCATGACTTTCATTTATAGAAAACTAATGATTTATTAAATTTTATCCAGACCTGGTCATTTTGTGCAGTGTTTAAATATTGCTTAGGATGACCACATCCCATATCAGAGTATCTGGTTTGAGTCCCAGCTCCTCTGTTTTGGATTCCAACTTGCTGCTGATGCATGGCCTGGAAGGCAGTAGGTGATGGTAGGTTCCTACCACCCACATAGGAAATAACAGATTGAGTTCACCATTCCTGGCTTCAACTGGTCCTATTAGTGACTCTTGTGGACAATTTGAAGAAACAGCAAGTAAAAACCTCTCTCTCTCTTCCTCTCTCTCTCTTCCCCACCCCCCTTTCTCCCTGCCTTTCAAATAAAATGAAAAGTAAATAATTCATTTTAATTTTTTTTAAACTTTCTCCCAGATATTTTGAGAATTTATTCCAGGACTAATAGTATACACAGTATCATATTTTATTACACTTTCCTTTCAATTTTCTTCTAAGATTTGAAGCACATAAAACTGGAGAGAGAAATACCTCTCTCAAGAATTTACATAGGTTAACTGTCCAATTTTATGTGTGTATACATCTACAGGGAAAGGAATACTAGTAATGTGAAGGAAAATACACGAAGGAATGAGACACTCTTAGATGGTTTTCTCCAAATATGTTAGCCTTATGTAGCTCAGTTGATATCGTTCCATGAAATATGCACTACAAATTTGAAATCAGTCATTATTTATTCCTCAAAATTTTTATTTAAAGAACTATGTAATTTAGAGTGGTTGATCAGAGTGTAACTGGAGTTTGGAGAAGGAGCTTGCACTCTGCCAAACCTCTTTGGTTACCCAGGTCCTGATGGGATACTGTTTTTATTCTCCTAAAAGAGTTTCTCAGCCTCAGCCTTGTCATTTCCAACTGACTGTTCTCCTGTTGTGGGGACTACCATGTTCACTGTAAGATGTTTAACAGCATCTTTGCCCTCCTTCATCTATTGTCAGTAGTTCTACTCTCCCTTGCTGTGTTTCCAGGCACTGCAAACGTCCCCATGAATCAAAATTAATTCATATTTCCTTTGCTCTCACCCCTTTATTCTGTTAAGAACCACTGCCCTGAATCAAAAGAGCAGGATTGTTGGTGGCTCAATTCAATGTGATTTTGGTACTATAGTTCTTTCTTCTAAAGTGCATGTACATTCAGATTTAGTTAATGTCTAATCAGATGCTCTGCTACTTGATTTTCTTTATTAAATAGTTAAATAGATAACAAGTTCCAAGATGGTTCTACCTATTGCATGTAATTTTTCATGGAAAAACTTCTAGCAAAAATGTTAAATTGGTTTTAAAGTATATATTTTCTATAAAAACAAAACAAAGAGAATCTATCTTTGTGGTATCAAAAATGGGAAAGTTTAGGGAATAAAAATAGCTGACTGTCAAAGCACAAACAATTTTACAAACAAGAATATTAAATTCCAAACCGAAATTTCCCATAGAGTACCTACACCCAAAAATTTACTGTTTCGCAGAAAATAATGAATATTGATTAACATTTTCTATGTATTTATTTATGAACATCATGATTAAATAACATGAGAGAAATTTAAAGAAAATACGATGTAATATCTCCACAGGACAAGAAGTCACCTATTTGCTATTCTTGTTCTTTTTCAAGTCTTCGGGTTCTTGAAGTATAATGAAGAGATGTTCTAATGATCAACTTGGACAGATTGGCCAGTTGTTTTAGGCTAATATGCGCATCAGAGTGAGGGAAGCCAGAACTGCAAGATCAACAGATAAAAGCAAGGAAGAGGGTGCCAAGATGCCTGGGGGCAGCTCTCTGAGGCAGCAAGAATCCAGACTGAAAGCTGTTGACTGGGAAATGCCAGGCAAAAAGAAAGCAGGACATTGAGGCAGAGAGGGGGAAAGGACAGGAGGTAAGATATCCTGGGGAGTGTTTCTCAAATTTAATGTGCTTTCGGATTCAGAAAGTGTGGGGCAAGGGCAGGGTCTGCATTTCTCATCATTTCCCAGGCAGGGTGCTAGAACCCCCTCTTCCCACCCTCCGCCCTTAGCTCCCAATGTATTTCTGGAAGTGCAGGTACTATTGCTGTTTCACCACGAGATATATGAGATTAACAATGAAGGAATTAATTTCCTTGGATTCCCAATACATAGAGAAATGGTATCTTTATATCTTTAAAGAAAAACATTGGTTATACTGTTGCTCTGATACACAAGTTGATTTCCTGTCTTTTTAAAAAATACGCATGTATTTATCAGGAAAATATCACTGTGGTTTTTGCGTTTCTTCTATCTTTAAGGAGCATATTTCTATGGCATAATATCTTACGAACTAATGAAAAAAAGTAAATTAGGTTTCCTATATGGATGATTATTTTTAAATATTCCAGATTAATTCCTGGTCTTGATTCAGTCTTTAAGACAACATAGGCTGTGCTTTTATACTCATCATTTGATTCCTTTTACACCCATGGGAAAACCAAACCTGGCTTACTTCCTGCTCTCTTCTCCAAAGCAACTAATGAAGGCCTGATTATAGGTTTTGGCATTCTGTCAATACAAGGTGTGCCAGGAAGAGAAGCAGATACAAAGATGACAGATAGATGAAGTATCCCTGATGGAAAACATCCGCTGGTGAAGATGCTGGTAGCGTAGTAAGAATTAGTGTGCATAAGCACAAAAATCTAAACACTGAAAACCAACACTAAATATAAGTAATGTGATCTGTTGGAGAAGATGACAATAGTAGACGAAAAAGGAGTATAGAAATGCATCCTTCTGGTGAAAATCTCAAAATAGCATTTTGCATTTTTAACAGACTATACTTAGAAACAAAAGGTATTCATTTATCACAGTTTTGTAGCAACAAGAATTTTCCAATGTATTATGCTCCATTTATACATTTTTAAAAAGGTAGAGGGGTGGGTAACTTTGCCGCATAAAAGTTTCATTATAAAAACATTTGGGACAACAAAATACCAAAATTGCATTTGTAATATGTTTGGTTTGGTAAAGCATGAAAGGTAAAATGTTTAACATTTCAAGATAGCACACGTTTTATTCTAAAGGAAATCTCAGTTTTAAACATATAGACAAATGGCAGCCATTTTTAAAAAATAAATTAAGGAAATTGAGACTTCTATTGTGGACAAATGTATTCTAACCTACTTGGAACAATCACCAAGGCTGCTTTTAAGGCTATGGCTTTGGAGATTATCATCTTAAAATACACACTCTTTAATGTTACCTAAATTTAGAAAATTTTCTCAATTTACTCACTCTGATCACATCACAAAAAGGTCAGATAATCATGCATAGATCATCTACATAACACCAATAATAATTAAACTATTTAATCAGCCTGTTTGAAAAATTGAGCATTTCAGAAAAAAAGATATCAAAATTCCCAGTAGTTACATTACATACAAATAGTGAGCTGTGCTGTCCATGTCCTGAATATATTTGTAAATATAATTTGGCAACATCTGCAGAGAAACTCCCCTTTGAGATCACACTGATAATTTCTTCTGTTCCCTAAGAGAAACAATGGAAAGAAACATGCTTCCTTTCAAGAGGTTACTGAACTCACCCCATGTGATGGATAAGAGATCCAACCCAGCTCCCCTTGAATTGTTTTTGAATCCAGTAGATTGACTAAAAGAAAACACAGAACAAAACACAGTTAAAATGAATTATTTCCATTTACTTCTGTTAAATTAATGTTACTTGTTGTTGATTTTGCTATTCAAAAAATATGACTGTCCATTTTCATTAAAAGTATATGATGAGTATAAAAGAATCACACACACAAAAAGAAAAGGACCACAGGGGCTGGCATTGTGGCATAACTGGTAAAGTCACCATCTGCCATGATGGCATCCCATATGGGTGTGGGTTCATATACCAGCTGCTCCACTTTCAGTCCAGCTCCCTGCTTGGACCCCTGCCACCTATGTGGGATTCACGGATGGAGCTCTTGGCTTTAGGCTTCTGCTTGGCCCAGACCTGAGACATATGAGAAGTGAACCAATGGACAGAAGATTCTCTCTCTCTCTCTCTCTCTCTCTCTCTCTTTCTGTTTCTTCCTCTCTCTATAACTCTGACTTGCAAATAAGTAAATAAACCTTTAACAAAAAGAAAGAAAGCAACCACAGGGAAAATTAGGGGACCAAAAGTTTCTGTGGACTTTTAAATTAATACTGAATATCTTAATAATTTTCAACACAAAAGCTATAGAGCTAAAGAGGAAACAAAAAAAGCAAAATAAGAAACAATATTAATGCTAACACAATATTAAAATGACTGCAAATGCTATTAAATCTGATAAGCTTACATACGATTTCTTCATGAATTAATTCCTAAATATGTTTCCATAGTTGTATATATAATGTTTATATTGTTCTCAGCTAACACCAACAGAATATTTTGTGCTATGCACTTTTTAATAATGTGTAGACCACTGAAGGGTAACAAACAGAATGTATTCCTACCAATTTGAGGAAAAAACAAAGCAGAATATGTTTTATGATATCATCTGTAAAAAGTTTTATTTAATTAAGGAAGGTATTGACACTCAAAGACTTTAGTGACGTTATTCAGAACTCTGTGCTAGATATTAAAGTCTGACTACTAAACAATATCAATAGATAAAAAGTGGGGCCTGTGCTGTGGCGCTGTGGGTTAATGCCCTGGCCTGAAGCACCAGCATCCCATATGGGTGCCGGTTCGAGACCCAGCTGCTCCGCCTCTGATGCAGCTCTCTGCTATGGCCTGGGAAAGCAGTAGAAGATGACTCAAGTCCTTGGGCCCCTGCACCCGCATGGGAGAACCAGAAGAAGCTCCTGGCTCCTGGCTTCAGGTCGGCGCAGCTCCAGCCATTGTGGCCATCTGGGGAGTGAACCATCGGATGGAAGACCTCTCTCACTCTCTTTCTGCCTCTCAACTCTCTGTGTAACTCTGACTTTCAAATAAATAAATAACTCAACTCTTAAAAAATATAGATGAAAAGTAAAGTTTAGCATATTGTTATATTTTGAACATTTATTTAAAAGATGAAGGGAAATTATTTGTTTTCAGCACAAAAAAAGTAATTTTTTAGTTAATTAGAAATTAAAATGTAAAAAGACACTTAAATATAATTAATAACAAAGAGTTCACTTTTGTTGATCTGTTCTGTGAAATAATGGTTACTGTGGTTAACTTCAACTATCTACAAAATTAGATAACACTTCCATGAATCACTAAGGGAAAATATAAATGAAAGTCACATAAACTAAACATGTATTATGAATATGAACCAGAGCAGGCGAATCAATAAACACAATAAAAGGGAATCATTTTCATGGGCTCTCTATATATGTTAAACAGACACTACACAACACACCCACATGTTGTCTGCAAAGTGCTTCCTGATACATAAACAATACAAGCTTTCTTTAATCATCTGAATTATATATTTAGAAATATTAAGAGCTACAAAAAAGAAATGACATTTTTCATAGGCATTAGGGTTTTAAATTTTTAAGCACTACTAAAATTTTAAAGGAAGATATGTGGTTAGCTGATTGGATGATAAATACATTAGGTACATATAAGAAAGGTACTTGTTCATTACAATTTAAAAGAGATACTGAGTTTGCTTAAGATTTGCTCAATGAAAAAAATACATAAATTTATCCTGTTACATGAGAATTTTTAAAAGATTTTTGTTCTTACAATACATTGGTCCCAAAGAAAGGTAAATACATTTAGATAAGAGAAGAAGAGATCCACTGCACCCATTACCTAGCATGAATTCTGTAACTGAATTATTTCCTAGGGTATTAGTTTGGAAATTAACAGTATAGTCAATTATCTTGAAATTACCTCTCAAAATAATAAAAAAAAACTCTACTGATTAATCAACAGTATATATTATATTTCAAATTATTCAGTACTTGAAAATATAAAAATACACCCTCATCTTTACATTAAAGTATATTACCAACATCCATTCTGAAAATAGCAAATCTAGTTCAGTTGTTGGTTATCTCAAAATCATCAACTGATTTCTCTGAGTTCTATATAAGATTTGCATGGTAAAATTTACACTGTCCATATTGTCAGTGTCCTGAGGGGACTAAGTGGCTCCAAGAATTATTGTGAATAAATAATAATGAAAATATATTTAATGATGAACATACTAAAATGACCCAGCCGGTTTAATTTCAGTATTAGTAACCAGAGAAAAAATTGTTTGAGGCCAAGAAAATATGATTTATCCTCAGGTAGTAAATAATATTGCAGTTAGGTTGTTAATTAAAGTATTAAATATCCTGAAGTTTTCTCTTATGATGGGCAACAGACTGGACTAATAATATCAGAATTACATTTCTACTCAGAGAACAACTAAACAAAAAAGAATTATACCACATACCACAAAGTCAATTAAAATATGCATAGTAGATTCATTAAATGTATTACATTTCCTTAGAAATAGAATTTTGAGCATACTCCATGAATGAGTAAAATACAATTATCAGCGTTACCAGTGATCCTGCTTCTGTGGTCTATTACATACTATCATATCTACGCTGGTTAACTCACAATGTAATTGTGAACATCAATAATATATGTATATTTAAAACCTCCATCAGTTTGTAACATCTTATATAGACTCAATTCTTATAAAACTAGAGTAATTTACAACAGCTCCATTTTGGCTTCTGAGCCTTCAATACATGACCTGTTTAGAGCATAGTTGATATCAAAACCCTTTTTAAAGGCACCTATTTTGGGTCTTGGTTTACAAAGTGCCTTTGTTTGAAGTCTTATAAGAATAACAAAGTGAATGGTTGTTAAATTGGGACTTGCCAGGACACAAATCTCAAGTCTTCTGGTATTTATTGAATAGGAATCTGGATAGAGCATAATGGCAATAAGAAGAGAATTTTAAAGTAAATGTATGAGTGATTTCTCTGGACAGATAAATTAAACCTAACACTGCAATCCAACGTCTTACATCCCACACTGATACACATAAGAATCATGGTTACTAATGCTTTTCCCTCTCAAAGCCTATGTAGACTTCATCATTAACTGTGGTGCCACTATTCAAATGCCAAGGGCAAATGCAACAGGCCAATGACTTGTGATGTCAAAATATTATAATATTATAGTCAGAATTTAGTTGGTAACATGCAATACACAAGGTTTATTTCAACTGATGGAAAACTTGAGTTCACAATATGAACTCTAACAAAGAGTAAATTAGGTGTTCAGGGTAGGTGAAAACATACAGATGGTTTAATTCTTTACGACTACTTCATGCCATTTATTTGCCAATGATGTTAATTGTCCCTTGTCAGATTTCAGTTCTAATGATGTTACTTCCAAATATTTTTGATGTGGAACAGGAAACAGATCATTCCATTCATTTCATAGTACCTTCTATTCAAAGGGCTATGGATTGCATTTTAAATTAAATTGATATAAATTAAAAAGTTTTTAAATATTATAATTCAATTTAACTTGGTGTAGACATAGGTATATGCTGGATAAAATTGTATTTGGAAAGAGGAGTACTAATTCTAGAACAATATGGCTCTAGATTTCTGTCCCATACTTTAATGCCTTAAATAGATGTGTGAATAGAAGGAGGTTGTTCTCATGAGAGCAAGCAAGAAACCCTCACTGTGAGTCTGGATTTGACTTTCTGGTGGGTGCATAAAGTGAGATATCTTGGAGAGAAAAAAGTGTGGTATCTGATGGAAATCAGAGAGGGAGAAGGGATTGAAGGCACAAGAACACAGTGAAGTGTTTAAAACAGCCTATGGAAAGGACAAGGATGTTTTCCTAACAGTGACCTTTACTGTCACATTTCCCCCACGCTGGATTGTGGAATAAGATTCTCGGCAGGCCTGCTCTCTCCTCTTCTCCTGTCCTCCATCACAATGGACAGACTTAATCAGAACTCTACTCTTGAAATTGCTTATTTACATTGGCAATGTCATGAAGAATTATCTAGGCATTAACATCATCTTCTCTTCTTACCAGGAGGAATTCACTAAGATATTTTAAAGGACTCAGTCACCAAAACAGAAGTTTGAAACAAATGTTCCCAGTTCATGAAGACAGATTTAAAACATGAAGCATAAATTTCTGGAGTTTTCAATTGCAGAGAATCATTAATACAACAAGATATTTTCAGGGACTTTTCAAAGTTCTGATTTTTATTGGCTAATTGTCCACTTAGAACAATGAGAGCTATACTAATATTCACATCTTAAAATATTAAGTGCTGCAAATATACAAAGTACTTAATTCTTAAAATAAAATTTCATAATTTCATACTGAAATACAAGATCTTTTCAATTATCTAATAGTACATCAGCCTGCTTTGTAGTTACGCTTTAGTTGCATTTTATGAAAAACACTGAGCTAAAAATAATTAGCAAAGCATTATCCTAGGTAAAAAGTAGATTCCAATAGCTAAACAACTTCAGATTCTTGTTCCAATAATAGGCCAAATGATTAGAATAGAAAACAAGCCCACACTTTGATGGCAACTAGCTTCACTAAGGAATGGTAATGTTTTCTTTTCTATTTACAACATCAATATAATTATCCCAGCTACATTTCTTTTACATTTATCTTCATCATTTTCATCACTTTCT